ATTATAATATCATATTATTAAAATAATTATAATATTATTATAATATCATATTATATGATAAAATAATAATATTAGAGTTATTAATATAATTATGATATTATTTGTTATAATATTACTATTATATTATATTATATTATATTACGACTTTGAATTTTAAATTAGAAAGATTGTAAATTTTAAATTTCATTAGGGATATTATAGGTATTATGAAAGTTTCATTAATTATACTATGTTGATTCTCGCACAATCTAAAAGCTAAAGTTGTCTTTAAGTTGCTTTTGATTTTAGCTATAGATTCTTAAAAAAATTTTCAAAAAGCACTTTTGAGGATATTTATCAAATACTAAAATCAGCTTCTGCTACAAGCAGAAGCCGATTTTGAGAGGAAAAAACAATACCAAACTAAGCCAATGAATATAATTATGATATTATTTGTTATAATATTACTATTATATTATATTATATTATATTACGACTTTGAATTTTAAATTAGAAAGATTGTAAATTTTAAATTTCATTAGGGATATTATAGGTATTATGAAAGTTTCATTAATTATACTATGCTGATTCTCGCACAATCTAAAAGCTAAAGTTGTCTTTAAGTTACTTTTGATTTTAGCTATAGATTCTTAAAAAAAAATTTCAAAAAGCACTTTTGATGATATTTATCAAATACTAAAATCAGCTTCTACTACAAGCAGAAGCCGATTTTGAGAGGAAAAAACAATACCAAACTAAGCCAATGAAATGCGAGAATGGTTCCTTAGTCTCTCTTAATTCTGGAATCAATTTGATAGAGTCTCGGTATCTAAAAACAGAAAAAATCCACTCTATTTATAGGCTCTGATCCGTGGAAATCTCCCTTGTAGCCTCTCTCTAACAGTTGATTTCTAAGAATTTTTTGCCACCGTCTGATTTGGTCCGTTCTTATATAGCTCTATCGATGATTTTTTTTCACTCACACCATTCATTTCGGAGTTCATTATGGCTCTTTAGCTAATAATTTCTGTAGTTCAACCTACGCTTTATGTAGTGTGGTCTCTTTTTTCACCCTTAACCTTTAAACGTTGTCATTTTCTTAAATCAAAACATCATCGTTTTTAACTAGTCATGTTTCTTTTTTCTTCTCAATAAAATTATAGAGGTCCTTCAAATTATGCACACTAAGTTTTCTTTTCAAAACTAATTGTCACCACCTATGATGATTGTTATTATTATTATTTTTATCGAATTTACAAGTGAGGTATTTAAACTTGTCACCTTATGATGGAGTGATATGTAGAATTATTACTAGACTATGTCAGCTACCACACTATGATGGTGATAATAAACAATATGATTGACAAATAGTACATCATCGTTTTTAACTAGTCATGTTTCTTTTTTCTTCTCAATAAAATTATAGAGGTCCTTCAAATTATGCACACTAAGTTTTCTTTTCAAAACTAATTGTCACCACCTATGATGATTGTTATTATTATTATTTTTATCGAATTTACAAGTGAGGTATTTAAACTTGTCACCTTATGATGGAGTGATATGTAGAATTATTACTAGACTATGTCAGCTACCACACTATGATGGTGATAATAAACAATATGATTGACAAATAGTACAATGTCATAATATTATTTACCGTGCTGGTTTATAGTAATTAGGAACATTTGGATTGAGAATGTCCTTATTTCTGATAGTATTTCTTTTTACACTTTTCTTTTAAGCTTTTTGTTTCTTGATAATATTTAGTTATCTTAATTATATAAGTTGAATAGAAAAGGCAAAGTTACTCGTATCAAATCCTAATGCAACCTTTTTCAAGACAAATGTACCAACAGGGATTGACACAAAATTAGTAGTTTATGTAGGTCTTTTATGAAATTATTTTAGTTGTGGTTTGAACCTTTACATATAGTACACGAGTGAAATGAATCCTTTTCAAAATTCGAGATACGTGTTCAATTATGTTAAAGTTACATAGTTCAAAAGACATTTATTGATTTTTTTTTCTGTACGCTAAGAAAATGCAAAACATTTTGGTCAAGAGTGATGCGAAATTAGTCCCCAAGGCCTCTAAATAACTTTAAAGCATATCATCTTTTCTTCTTAACGCGAAACAAAATGCCCTAAATACACTGAGATAACATGAAGCTTCCGTCTAAGATATGTACGTTCTTCTACTTTTTCTTGTAAGAGAAACATCTATACATTGATGACACATCAATTATAAAGGAACAGAGGATAAGGAATCCTCTAAAATAACTAAAAAGAAATAGAACACCTAACAAAACAAAGCAACACACTCCACTTGATTAAAACCCCAACTCCATAACAACCTTCCAAGTTCCAATTCCATGCAAACAAAGAGAAAAAGAAATCCTTGCCAAAAATTAAGCAAATCCATCAAATGAGAAACGTATTTCTGGGCTTCTACAGGCTTGGAGAGCTTAAGAGGCTAGAAAGTTCCAGACCCAGTAAACAATAAATATATAAATAGCTAAAAGTGAAAACGGGAGCTAGTAGGAACGCTTCAGGGTTGAAAAGATCATCCACTTGCAATCATTCACTACCTAGAGTTGACAATTCAGGTAACGACACGACGACACGACTCAAAACTTAGACGAAGTTAACGGATTTGAATTTACTATAAATAGATTTGAGTCATGATCAGATTGACATGATTAATAAATTAGTTTGATTATAATTGACCTCCTAACACGAAGTGACACGAATTGACACAATTAACTGTGTTATCTACAATCTAATGATATGTGATATAACATGAAAATTTATATGACATACTAAATACAAATACGATGAATTTTAATATTTGTAGGTAAAATTCATTTATTTTTCTTAAAGGTAAAGATGAATTGACTAATAAACATGTTAAACTTAAGTTGACCGTGTTAAATAAGTCATTATTATATTAGTTATTTATTTAATATATTAATTTAAACATGTTATAGGAGTTAACACGATTAACACGATTAATAAATGAGTCGTATTTAGATTGACATTTTTGACACGTTTAATAAACATGTCATGTTTAAATTGATATTTTCTAACAAGATTAATAAACAAATTAACACGAACACGACCTACTAACACAAATTGTCACTCTTAAACCCTTACTATGCACAAATATGAGAGCCAAGCCACCCTTGGCCTTTTTAACTGCACGCTAAAAAGTTTGTCCATTTGATCCCACATCGCTATTGTTGATATCACAAAGTAAATGTCTATTCATTATAAAGACAATAAAACAAATGTCTAATGAGCTCTTAAACCTTGTTCAATCAAATCAAATATTAAAAATTATGATGTTTAGAGATGGTTGTTATTTCCTTTGGTAGTCCAACGCTATTAAAATTGCAAACATGAAAAGCATACGCCCACTTCAAAATGTATTAGTATAGTCAATACATATTATACATCTCATTCTTGAAAGCACCACAATCATTTACAACGCACTCCAAAAGATACTGCTTTCAATGCAGTTTTGAGCCACTAGTAAAACAATTTATCACTCTCACCTAATTTCTGTGTCAGAACTATGCAATTTTTAGTGCACTTCCCTCAGTTTTACATGCCTCTATAACCGTGTGAAGAAAAAAAAATGAGAAAACAAATCCTCATCTGAATGCTTAAAAATGAGCCGATGGGAATGTTTTGTGTACATGTTTCAAGTGCAGTTTACTGCTTCAGAGTTTTCCTGTGATGGATTGCAAAAAAGTTCAGACCCAAAAGGGGATGCCGACGGTTAAAAATATAAGAACAAGAACTGAAGATTTAGAAAGCGAGAAACTTACTTGAACTTCTAGAAGATTTTCAAGTTCAGTTCTTACGTCGGAGAACGAAGGCCGATTGCCAGGAGTTCCATCCCAACATTTCTGCATCAATTCTAATAATTTGGGATGTGCATTAGTAGGAAGATCCGGGCGCAATCCCTGAACATAAAAATTAAAAAAGAATTAAGGGATGGATTAAGGATGTAAAGTCTTGTTTTCATTTTTCTGCGAGAGTATCAAGATAGTTGCGAAGTTCAATATTAAATAAAGATAACCACCAAACTTATTGATAAACGTAACAAATAAAAGAAGAAAATAGATTGCATATACCCTAAAGAGGATATGGAACTTTGTATAAAAAGAATTCTGACTTTTTACTTTCTTTTGGGAACTTTAGAATAATAAAAAAGTTTTCAAACAAGATATTCAACTGCACATATATATCTTTCAAATTGTCAGAGAAACTAAACTCATAATGAAGTATAGCAATCAAAATAGTGTTGCCTTTCCCAAACACATTCTTAGTGAAGTGAGGCCCACATATCTGATGAAATGTTATATTCCCAATAATGCCCAAGGCACTTGACATCCATTCAACATTTAACTTGCTTGCAAAGAAACTAACTTTCCCCATACACATTCTTATTGCTTGCAACACAATAAGTCGACGCTTTATGAGCTTGAATTTCTACATGCAATTAAAAGTTATGCAATTCAAACTAAAGGACAAAACACTATTCACTTTCCAAAAACCATTGTCGTTGTGACATCATCAATGATCAAACAGGTGCTTCTGGTTAAGTGATGGCTTCTATAAGTATACATTTTCAGTGAAAGAACATGAATACTTGACAGCAACACTCGAGTATTAAATTCAAATTGCACGAGCCCGAAAGGAGGGCTTTTTAGGATCTCAAAACAATGAATAATATTGTCATCACCAGCAACTGGAACATATTCCTAAAATTCCTTTCACGAGTATGCACAAGTATGAAAACCGGAAAATGTCTGTCTACACAAAAACACTCAAATCACAAGTAACATGTCTCATCAATTGAACAAGCTAATGAAAGTTCGATCATCAAATTATCAGGCAATTACCTTGGCATATTGCAATAAGTGGCAACCAGTAACATTATTTAATTCAAGTGCAAAATTTGGTATATCATCAATTAAAAAAAAAAGGTGAACCAACTACCACGTTATACCTGCCTCACTCCAAGTGCAGCTTGCAGAGGAGTCATAGATTCATATGGAACCTGCAAAAAAAGGTTTTATACCAAGAAAATATAATGAGTAATAATCCATATCCAAGCAACTCCAAAGTCCAAAAAGCAGAGAGTTTAGATAAACATAATTCCAGAGCCCTTGCAGTTTTAGGACAAACCTTGCCCGTCACTAGCTCCCAGAGTACAATAGCAAAACTAAATACATCTGCTTTTTGATCGTATGGTTGATGGTTTATAACCTTGAAGGGAATAAAAACAATAAGAAATGGAAATGACACACGAATGAAGAGAAAGTAAATCTTGGAAATGATACACGAATACTAGGTCCAAACATAACAGAAACATGGACCGATAAATCTTGGATTACAGACATTTATGATCACTTTAATGTTCTAATGAAAAAGAAAGGAAATAAATGTTATCAGCGTCGCCCAACAAGGGCTACATTATTGAAGCACTAAAAATAAAAGGTAAAGGAAACAGTAAAACTAGAGTGCATCAACTTGCAAAAGCTAGAAGGCTGCATCCAAGAAAAATAAGAGAACTCAATATCCTTCAATTTTAAGATACTTAATTTAATCATCATTTCGAAGCAGTATGTTAATCCAGATCCAATAAGCCCAAAAATTTGTGAATATTATGCTCATCACTCATTAGGGAAGTTGAAACCCTCCTTGTCTTCTTCACTGTTCCTCCTCTAATAATCCCTCCTCGTCTATTATTTCTCTCCTCGAAATTGTATATCATAAGTGCTGAAAAGTTGGAAAACACTAAAATAGCTGTTTTGGGTGTTTTTAGAATTTGACAAGATCAGAAAGCAAGAGAATAACATTGGTATCTGCATCTCCAAAATTCGTATGTGTACCCCCTGCTTACATTGGGCTGAACAAGTCTGTCAACACTAAACTAATGATTTCCAGATCATTATTGGGCCACTGGAATAGGGAGATGGGAACACAGGTACTTTCATAGATGAGGGAAATATGAAAAATAAGTAGATATCGGACCTCTGGTGCCATCCATCTATACGTTCCAGTCTCAGCGGTCATTACTCCCCCTTGATTTTGGAACCGAGCAACGCCAAAATCAGCCACCTTAACAACCTAAAGTCAAGAATCAATGAAACAACATTTTAGGATTCAAAATCTTCTCTAACCCACAAGCTGAGAAATCTAAAACTCATCCATGTAGAACCATCTTTCACAAATTATAATCCACAAAGTAAATATGAAAGTTGGATTGATCGTCATTATGTGTAGCATAAACACATCTCAAAACCACTGCTCCTAAAACCTAGAATAATAGCAAGACGTGGACTTCCAGTAGGGTTCACACGTGATCAATAATCAGAACACTAATACCCAAAACTTAAAAAACAAAGAACCACGTGAAAATAACAGTGTTTTTATATAAAAATAAAAGGCTAGGGATAACAGCAAATACTCCTCCAAATGATAAAGACCTTAAAGATCATCACTAGCCGTTCAATATGAAATTTGACATCTTAACTTTGTCTGCAAATATGTAATACCTTCTGTCCTCGTGATCATATTTCAAATTATGGAAAAGTTATTTCACAACCAATATTGTTTGGAAGCAGTATACCACTGTTGGATACTTTACAGCTCGTATCAACTTGGTTATGTATCCTACCAATTTCGAATGAATTAAAGAGGGAAACAACATACACAAACTGCGGTTCATGTCCATGATGTCCATAAGCACATGACAAATTCTTGAGGAACTAAAAATAATCCGAATTACAAAATAATTTTTAATCACATAATCAAACTTCTTTGGTAAGATGTTCTGTCAAACAAAAAATAAGGATTTACAGATCGATATGACCATCAAAAACAGGTGTTAATCCAAACAATCTAACCTAATCAAATGATCAACTCGGGTTTTCCTTCACTTTACCAGGGTAACAGAAAGCAGCAGACTCACTTCTGTCTCCCAGGTTACCAATCAATAATCTAAGGCAAATCCCACAACCATGAGCTAGAGCAGTTATAGAAACACCAGCTCTCAAACACTCTGCCATTCCTTCTCAGGTAAAAAAACAAATTTAAAAGAAACGTGGAGAGTTATTCTTTCTTTTGTCTTATCCTCCATTTGTCGACCTTTTGTCCATGTCGATACTAAAAACTTGGTTTTATAGGAAGATCTAGTTTTTGCTGTGCTTTCTTATTCTTTTGGTGACCTTATAACCTCTGTGTGGATGCATTCATTCTTGTATCTCGTTATGGATTTTTCACCTTAAAAAGAAGGGGAAAAAAGGCAAGCGACAATTGAACAAAGTAACAAATTCTCACATTTTGAGTATCCATAAGCAAATTTGCTGTCTTCAGATCCCTATGTATTATGTCATTTTGATGCAGATACTCCATTCCTCTGCAGACATCAATTGCAAACTTCAGCAGCTGTGTGAGCTTCAAGACATTGTGATTCGTATGCAAATAGTCATATAGACTTCCACAGGGCATATACTCTGCAAGGAAGACAGCAACCGCAAGTTTTGATAATTATTGAAACCAAATGATGGGCAGAAAACATGCAAAAAGTAAGCAGATACATTTGAGTTGAAAAATAAGCAGATAGAGTTTCAACAGCACGTAGGAAAGATGTTAGCCTGAGCTGCTCTGCAAAGCCATATTAGAATCTCCCAGTGGTGACTGAGAATCACAAACTGAAATTTCGAAAAATGATGTCTTATACTCTAATCAGTTATCATTAACTAAACTAATAGTTTCACTCCCCTTGGTGCAAGTATCAAATGCAGAATCAACTTGCGGAGTACGGTATATCTGATATCAAGGCAATTTTCAAGAAAGAAAATATTTAAATACAAAACAAAAGGAATATCTTCCAAAACGCTGTAAGCTAAGAGTGGAAGTTTCCAACATCAGGCATCAGGGCACTTTTTCAATAGAACTAGTTCAAATAAAAACCTCAGTTCTCCCTTTTTATTTCAAAATATATAATAAATACACGCAACTTTTCCGTCATACCTTCTCGCATGCACGTGATGACTCTAAAGAAATTTTTACTGTAAGATTGGGAAAGAGACCAAGGACGAAACAAATACATAGCAAAAGAATGAGCCCGACATAGAAGATCACGTACCTGTTACAATGCACAAATGCGGTAACCTTGTACAAGCACCGATAAAACGAACAACATTTTTATGCCGAACCTCCCTACATCGAGAAAATAGTAAACTCAAGAGCCATAACATAATATTCTTAAGATTCAGTTTTCAATTAGCCACAGGAGTTCAAGAATACTTGAACGGTAATACTTGTTACTATGAAAATCTGACTGCTCAGGATTGTACTTCCAGAAAAATATCAAAAGCCAATAATGGATTCTCATTATTATTTTCTAACTTTTTTGCTCAACAATGGAAAGACAGAAGAGAGAAAAATTGGCATCAGGAAACTTTAACACATTCAAATATATATTATTTTTAACTGATTATTAATAGGGTACCAAAAATTCTCTGCTCAAAAGTATGACATGATAAGGTGGAACATCAAAGACTGGCTGGAAGATTCATGAATGACTCAACTATACATGTTGCTTCTTTAAATTTTTTCATCAAACTTGATCCACATTTCGCTATTTCCACAGAACCCGAGTTCAAAAATTACCTATAACTCATTCTATGCGATAGCCAAACATGGTCCAAGGTAAATGGAGATGAAGTTAAACACCAAGATTGAACAAAACGTTGACTTAAATCTATCTTGTTGAAAATTTTGGCATACTGTTATCAGAAAATCTTGTAGATTCAATTTATGACACTGGAGAGAAAATTATTTCCAGTAACACAACCCCAAAAAAAAAAAAGTTATTCACCTCAAAATTGCCACTTCCTGGGCAAACTCATCCTCTAGAGCATTATTTAAATGCTCAGATCTGAGAATCTTAACTGCAACATCTTCCCCAAGATAAACGCCATGATACCTTAGAACAGAAAACAGTGAAAAGTTGGGCAATACACTAAGGATATAACAGATAACAAGAATTGAAACACGACTTACAAGTCTCCACAAGATCCGGATGCAATTCTCTCTCCTATTTTCAATAATCTTCGATCTATTTCCCAGTCTCCAAGTTTCGTTTGTGTTGCTAAAGATTTCTCCACAGCAGAATGAGAATGTGATGATCTAGACCACGAACCCTATATTGTTTATGTTAAACAATATTGCATAAATGTCGTTTTCTGTCGGACTATCAACTTATTCAGATAAAGGTTACAGTATAAATAAATACATATGCAATGAACAAAGGTTACAGGGCCTTACTACGTATGGTGCAACTGAAAGCTGTAGTTTTGAAAGTGTTGGAAGTAATGAAACAGAGTTACAGATGAACAAATAGGGATCAGCACAAAGTTTACCTCACTTCTAGCAACTGCTTTTTCCATAGCTTCATATAAACCATCTGTATCCTGACCACAACATTGCAAAGTCAGCAACATTTGGACTCAGCACAGATCCCTGTCATAAAAGAAATGTAATAAAAATGCTCCTTAATATATTATGAGGGTGCTGTCCTTGGATAAGCTGCAGTTTGCCAACTTCATAACACTAGAAAAATAAACACGCCAAATTACTGCAGTTGGGTCGCGTTTGCAAATTTCACAAATTGAAAACTACTAATATGACAGCCATCAGATTCACTAACTAGATAAGCATGGCCCCTGTGCAAGGATGACGCACAAATCGAGAAATGGTCCAAACATACTAACTGGAATTTAAGTCATCCATACTTATCAAATGATTAGAAACTGTTTGTTGAAACGCACATGCAAAAACATACATCTACGTGTGTATGCATGCACGCAGACACACATACACATGCTCATGCACATATATATGAAGATAATTACAATCTCTCAAGTTACAAAATGTAATAATAATACAGCAATATAAGTATGGAAGAGTAAAAATTGTAATGGCTCCTCAAGAAAAATAAGTATCCTTTTCATCACCAATAAATAATCATAAAAGTGGGCAAAAACAAAATCAGTGTAAGAGCAGTAGAAGCAAAATTAGTAGATGTAACATACAGAGACTAGAATTTTATCTGTAAAATAACAGGAGTTGATAGTTTACTATTTTGAATGAAAACTAACGCATAAGGAACTTGAATATAAAGTATTCAGCAAGAAATAAGGGTTGAACGAATGATAAACAAACACGACATACTACCTCAACAGGCCACCCGTCCACCACAAATACATCCAAGGAATAACCATCAGTTGTTGAGAAGACATGTGCTTCACGGATGTTCAGTCCTATATCAGAAAGCAAAGCAGAAAGCTACAAGAAAATGAAAACCTGTTAGATATCCACTTGTATCATTCTTTTGGCATTTACAATAAAATATACATGTGTGTGTGTTCGTGTGTGTTTACTTGAACAGCAACTAAATGGTAGAAAGGGCATGTCTAAGTCAATTGTCTTAAATCATTTTGTCTTAAAGGAAACCATCTTATCACAACCCACATTCATGAAAGAAGATTTTTATTGAAAAAAAAAGGAAAAAAGAAACAAGAATCTCTTATTTATGATCAAACATTGTGTACAATGTTAGAGAGGATGAGGTATCCACCAAAAGTTAGCACTAACTAAATTAAATTTTGTCAACCCCGAACTAGATCAGTAAACATCAGGCCTACAAAAATCTCCTCACCATGGACCCAAATGGCCAACCCAGAATTTAATAATATCCCAAATAACAGCACAAATCCTCCTTGAACTCCTTCAAAAATCTTCAATTTCTCCAACCAAAACCCCCAAAAAGTCTCCAAAACAACAAACTTTCCCAAATAATTTCTACTGCTAGTACCCCTATGCCAAAATGATGACTAGTATAACTCTTTACAAGTTCTAGGGGTAATGCACGACATCCCTAGCTCCCTCAACACCAAGCACCGTAGTTTATAAGAAAAAGAGCAGTGCAGGGACAATGATCCACAGATTCACAGCTGTTTTGCATAGAATACACCATCCTGCAGAGATTGAGAGAAACGCTTCCCCAACCCCCCATCAAATCATGAGTATTTTCCTTTTTAAGGAAACTGAAACTATTATTAATGAGAAAAAGAAGAACTTGTCATATAAAGTCAAAAAAAAAAAAAATCAAGAGAAGGGACACGAACATCATCTATCAAAAAGGTGAAAAAAGACTTGACAGAAAAATAACCACAATGATCACTCCCACACCCTTTTATCTGGAACCCATCCCCCAATACGAATCCCCTCCAATAAAGAAACTAACTCAGAGTTAACCTCCACTGCCTCCCTTTCGACTAAATTCCTACGAAACATAACAAGAATTTGAAAGAAAATAAAAGGTTAGTTTGTTATTAAGAAAAAATAATCGATATAAGGCTGGAAATTTTCCTATAAGAGGCACCTCACCAAACCAAGTGTCTTCCAAAAACCCTGACCCCATCCCCAATACCGACCTTTCACTTAAAATGCTGAAAATAATTATTTGTGAATTATTGAACAGCTTATCACAGCACAGATTCCTGCATGTCTTCGGCTGAAACTTCATGCATTGTTTCAATTATAAATAAAGAAACTCTAATGGAAACACTACTTAAGTGATTTCCACAAAATCCACCTCCAGAATACCATGACTTCAGTAGGAGATGAAGTCTCCCAATCCAATGAAAAAATAACCACGTACTCTGGTTAACCCTATAGGCTCCTTTCATCCTAAATCTCGCCAAACCTTTACTCATTGAAATTCAAGTACGACAAACTTTCAGCTTTGGTGGGAAATAGTGTTGGTTGAATTCCAAACTCTGGTTTAGACTTTCTTTTACTATTTTACTTTTTTTTTTTTCTTTTTTATAAGAAAACTTATCTTTATTGATGAAAAATTAATTACACATGAAAGGATAAGTAATCCACCAAAAAACAAACAACAAGAGAAATAAAACTCTTTTGCTGTTTTTCTTGGAAGTCTACATCAAGTTCAATGCATGCAACGACAGGTAAATAAGTCCTGAATACCTGAAACAAACCAAATATATAATAACACGAGCGAGTTCCAGTGAAAAACGAGTTACTAGTTAGTTGAAAGAGTTCAGTTTAGGGAACTTTCAACAGCAATTGAGAATTACGAAAAATTATGACATGGATATTAAGAAGCTAACGCCACCTGATGTTAGGCAAAAATATAAAAAATTATAGTATGTATTATTTTTCTAAAAAACATTTTCACTGTATTAGGATTATAATCTTTGAGATAGAATGTAATTACAGTTTGACTTTTTTTTTGCCTTTTTTCTCTGAGATTTTAATTGGGCTTCTTTGACATTTCTTACCAAAACTAGAGTTAATATCCAAGCAGAATTGGGCTTGCAAATCTATGTATAGGCTTGATTTTGTCTAGTTTCTCATACCCTGGCTAAGGATGTGTATTTTCAAATAAGTCTTTAACTTTTCTCTCTTCTCATGAATTCTCCCTAGAGCCTACATCCAGCACTATTATGCAAGTAAACTCAAAATGCTGAACATACTACTCTTCTAAAGCATACCTGGCTAAGAAGCTTAGGCTTGTCAATGGTAGAGAATATTACTTCATGAACTGCAACATGACTACTTTCTTGCCTGCAACATACATTCTGATAGTCAATTTATCTTCTCCTTTGATTATTATAGTAGAAATATTCGACAATACAGCAACACATCAAAAATAATACTTTTCCCGCACAGTGAATAAATAAAGTTAATGCAAGAACACGTCAAAAAAAAAAAAAGGGAACTATGAAAAATGATGAACATTGTTTTCGTTCACAAAGTAGGCGATTTTTCTTCAACCATTAAGAGGGCATATACTAATAAAAAAATTCCTGAAATACAGAAAGTCCAGAATAAGGCAGCATACTCGGTATATTGGTCGTTATTGAACTACCACATAGTACGACCTTGATGATAAATCATTCTCAAAGTAGGGAACTTTTCCTTCAACCATTAAGGAGGCATTTACTAATAAAAAATTCCTTTTCAAGAAAGGGACGAAATTTCTGATTTTAAATTTGTGTTTACATTTGTGTTTGGGAATCAAATGAGGTGAAAAAATTAAGTTTCTTGATAAAAGGGTCTTATCTCCTACGTCCTATCTACGGAATTACATTCTTTCCCCTAAAAAATGGAAACTAACCAACCTATTTAGCAAGTGTACCCTTAAAAAAAGGCGGACCCCAGTGCCAAAGAGGCTCCCGTACTATGACAGGCTCGGGGGAAAGCTCAATCCCATATGTACGCGGGCTTACCCCCCGAAGGAGAAGCCGTTTCTGGGATTCGGACCTTGGACCCCGGGATTCGAACCTTGGACCCCGGGATTCGAACCAAGTGTACCCTTACTTTAATTTAATTATTTAGTCTCATTCCTTCTTATTCTTTAGCAAAGTAAAATGCATAATAGTAATTTGATTCCCTTTGTAACTTAATTCCGCAATAGATTAGTTAACACTTAAAAGGAATTCTGGAAATTCCTTTTTTTTTTTCCTCAAAATTCATTCCTACTCTTTATTCTTGAATATTACATGTGAGAGTTAAAGAGAATTCATTCCTACTCTTTATTCATACCTTCTGGAAAACTTCTTCATTGCACATTGTTCTGTTGTGTCCTTGGAAGTCTTTCTGACATCTAAATTTAGGTCCTCAAGCTTAGAGCAAGGTTCAAAGTCACTTGCACGGTTCCTGGTTCTAGTTATTGAAAAGGAAAAAAAAAATCAAAAGAAATAATTGACCAGCTAGAAAAGCAATAGTTCAGACAACAATCAGTAAATCCTTACACTCATCTTTTTTATATTTTGAAAGTGCAGTGAGTAACAAAATGACAAGAAAAATAAGCACGCATAGAAGGCCAGGATATGTGCAACACCTTTTATGTGATAGAACTTCGTCATTAGCTCCATCAGATGATGGCCTTGGAGTTGCAAGAATACTTGTAAAGTCCTGATCGTCATTGCCATCCGTTCTAGAAATATTCTATACGGCAGTATGCCAAAGAAGGAAAAAACAAGAAACAAGAAACAAGAAACTGAATAAAATGAGCAAGCATGTTTGTCATTTACAGATAAAACCAAGAAAATATGCGCTAATTTTATTTGGTATATGGTAAAAAACTTTGAACCAAGCCATCTACTTCAGTAAAACACACTCGTTCAATCGGTTTATATGATCATTATTTGTACAATAAATTGAAAGGAAATCTCAAATCAATTGGACGCATGTTTTTTCTACAACTAAGGAGTCAAAGAATAGGGATTACAGTAAAATTTAAAGCAGATATCATCAACAATGACTCCTTATAAGCAAATATTGAATAAAATACAAGGTATACCTCCAAGAAACGAATATGGTAAACAGGCCTCTTCTCTGGGTCTCTTGCTAATGCAAGAAGCTTTCGATGTAACAAAACATCTTCCACTCTATCTATGTTAACATCAAGTCCATAACTGATACAAAAAGGGAGGAAAAAGGAAAAGGTTCAAGCCAACTAAGTTTGTTTCCTTTTAAGATAGAATGTTTTTCCCAATCAGCAGCTCACTAATGCTTAATACCATATGGGAAAATTCCAATTGAAAAAAAAAAAAAAAAAAAAGAAGAATAACAGAAACACATGTGCTCGCAGAGATTAAAGGATAGAAGATCAACATTCCATAGCACATAGAAAAGTTTTTTGTTTATCTTTTGCTGAATTAATACATACAAATATATACATATATAAGTTGAGAGCACAACAATCACAGCAATGGCTCCAGAAGATTATTCTTTATTTTCTTAAACAGAAAGAAAGAAATAAGAAAAAGTTTCTTTGGCATTGAATTTCTTCCTCTAAATCTAAAATCAGTGCACCTTCTTATGTTAAATCTCTTCTAGTTAGAAAGTTGAGTAACAATTCAATCCTCATTCCTCTTTGAGAAAAATACAAATAAACAGAAATCATACTTTTTATAGGATAAAGAAATCAATAAATAGAAACTTCATCACCTAAAAAACATGACTAAGATGATACGTCAACACAATCGAAATAGCAACATCATAATGCTTGAAGCTTAAGAATCGAAAAACTAATTTTTTTGTAATAAAAAAAGTTGAAGATTCTTGTTTGAAGCTGAAGAATCGGAAAAAAATTAAATTCATACAACCAAAAGCTTGAACATCCAAAAAAAACGCGTTCGTCTAGAAAATTCGAGAAAAAGCAAAAGAAAATCAAAGAGATTCGACCGAATTGGAAATTATTACCTAGCCGGCAAGCGATTGAAGTGAGCGTCCAACTGCTCGCGAAACTCAGGATTGCTAACCGCGTCCTCGTGGCCGGTCTCGACCAAGCGATTGAAAACATCGTTCCTCACATCGTAGTTGTTGAAGCTCCCGAAGCTTCTCGGCGGCGAGGAGCTCTCTCCGACGCCTTCGGTCAAATCCATTTCCTTTTCCAGTCAGCTTGTTCCCGAGTTTTCCATGAAAATAGAAGGGAAAATGCGAGAAAGAGAGGGAAAATTTTGGCGAGCAGAGGGAAAGAAAATCGTTGATCAGAGAGGGGAGAGGATCTTTGACTGTTGGTAACTTGGTAGAATCAGAGGCGAACTAGGAGCCGTTCGGTATTTGACAACAAAACGGAGGGTAATTTCGTCTTCTCACTACTGTAACGGAGAAGAAGAGGGGGGAGAAAGAGAGAGAGAGAGAGAGAGAGAGAGAGAGAGAGAGAGATTTCGTCTTCTCACCACTGTAACGGGGAGAGAGAGAGAGAGAGAGCATAACTGCTTCGCTTTGGACTCTAGAAATAGAGAGAGAGAGAGAGAAGGACATAATTATTTTTTAAAATAATAAAAAAATAAGTGAAGAATGTCAGAATTCAGATTGGTGTAGAAAGAAAACAAGAAGGGACGTGGTCCAGGCTCTAGACCTAGACAAACTTTTATTTATTTTCATTTCTTGTCAAAATTAGGCTCCGTTCACTTCGTTAATTCGAGTTTAGAATTTGAGTTGAGATGTGATTTTATGTGAGAGCTTTTTACTGTAGCAAAAAAATTAGATGTGATTATTTGTGAGAACTTTTTACCGTAGAAAAACTCAAATTCTAAACTCAAATCAGCGAAATAAACGGAGTCTAAGTTATTGGCAGCATTGTTAAATTTTTTAATATGTGAGAGTTTAGTTTTTAATTTCGACAAAACGGTCTTTCGTAATTGAAAACTTTCCGTTTAAATTCATTAAATTTTTCATAGAAAGTCACATATGATCATTATGTGACTTTTTTTTTTAATTAAAAGATAAAAATACCCTTAAAAATTAATACCAAAAGAGAAAAATAAAATAAAATAACAAAAAGAAGAAGATGAATGAAGAAGACGAAGACAGAGGAGAGAGGAGGATGTATAGAAGAAGTAAACAAAAATCATTGGGTGTCTGAATTTAATGAAAGTGTTGTACTGTGAATTAAGGGTGTTCGTCGGTTAAAAACCATCAGTTTTGGTCGGTTCGGTGGCCGAACCGACCATGTCGGTTTTCTGAAAGTTGGAACCGAAATCGAACCTCACATAACAATTTTCGGTTCGGTTAACCGAACTTCAGTTTCGGTTCGGTTTTGGTAATCAAGAAGATGACTTCAGTTAACCATCAGGTTACCGGCATCTTTAGTTGCATTTTTGGCCCGCAAGTACGAAAAAATGTAAAACTTTCCTTCAATGCAAAGTTGCAAACACGTAATCATAATAAATGAATACAAAGCACAACATCAAAATTGTAATTGCACAAACACAAGTTTAAAAAAAACGACAATATAAAGTGCAAAACGACAACATAAACTTAAAAAAAATGAAAACATAAAAAAAAATCCCATCTCAGTCGGTTCGGTTTTTAACCGACTCTCTACACGTAAAACTGAAACCGAACTAACTTTTGATAAAGTCAGTCGGTTCACCGAACCGATTGTGTTCGGTTCCATGTGGCACCGTCGTTTTCAGTTTTGAGCGGTCAGTTCTTCGGTCGGTTTCGGTTTTACGATTTTTTTGTACAGTCCTACTGTGAATGATAAATTAAAAATAGAGGTTGGAATATTTATGGCTAATCTGAAATTGGGTGTTATACTAAAAAAAAAAATCATGGGTGTCTAAATATGTCATTTATCTGAGTTGATTATTTCGAGCTTGGATTTCACATCTGGTTTAGAATTGGAAATTTCTTTATCATTTGTTGGGTGCTAGGTTGGTCTAATATAAACAATTCTTCTTTTTTCTTCTTCTTCTTCCTCTTAATTTGTTGTTCTATTACCAGAAATTATTCCATTACTATTTATCCATTGTTTTAAAAGCTCTGTTCTGATAAAGGGAATATCTACAAGCCTTGTTTGATTCAAATTTTATCACCGCTGCCAGGCGCCAACCCCACAGCCTTTACCACCATCACCGTCTGTCTCTCTACCATCATTGTCACCGTCAAAGGTAGGTACTCCGACGACCCTTAAGGCCACTCCCCTTTCGAAGCCATCGCGACCTCCCCCTCCATCACGCAAGGCCTATCTCCATTGTTATGGTTACATATTTGCAAACCACCAAAAGAAGCAGCCACTCATATCTCATTGCTTTCCCCTCCCCATCGCTACAAGATCGAAGCGCCCCCTCCTCCATCACGAGATCTAGGCCCCTTCCCTTTATCATCGCGAGATTGCAGTCACCCTTTCCCTGTCGTCTCAAGATGAATGCCGCATCTCTTTGCCCATGATTGTGCATGTCCTTCAATCCCCAACTTTCTCTCTCTCCCTCCCTCTAATTCTGGGTTTCTTTAAGTTAAAGTTTTTTTAAGATCAAGTCTACAACTTTTTTATTTAAATTATAATCTAATATTATTTTACCAATATGCCCTTCCAAATTGAAGCACATGTGGTGCACGTGATCGTTTCCATTAGAAACTTAAAAGAAATAGATGGAAAGAGTTTAATTGTCAATGTTTTCAGAGTTTAGAGACCTTTTTGTTAAAATTAAAAAAGAGGGACCAAAGTGTCATCTATTAAAAAGTTTAAGGGCCAATGGTGATAATTATTCTCAAAATTTTAGTTGTGTTAGATCCCTTTTTGTCGCTGGTGTCACAGACAGTGTTATAACATTTTTACTGTAACATTGTTTTAATAGAAAAATCTGAAATTAAACCAACAAAAGGGCAAAGTAGGAAAAATAATGCAGAAACATAAAAGACACCGAAAAATGGTATTGCAGTTCGGTGTGCACACCTACTCTGCGGGGCCACGCCCAGACAGTGATCAATCTACTAAGTTCAAAGGATTACAAATGACCGAACGGTCTTACACACTTAACGACTCCCTCCTTGACGATGTCGTCGTTGCCTAGAATATCCTTAGGAGGCTTGATCAGCGAGCACCACTCGCCTTGACGGTTTCCTCCCGAAACCAAGGAAATCTTCTCCCGAATATTCAACTCAAAAGTGTTCTAACAATTCGTCGCAACACATCAAACGACGCTTAACATTACAATCGCATACTGTCATGAACACCTCAAATATCTCTCATGTTTTCAGCATTATGTCCCATAACCCGTTCTTCCATGCAACACAGTGATTCCTCTCTACTATAGTCTTCAGATCACCAACCATCAATAGTCAATGATAAGCACACCCAATGATGGTAATATCTCATCCAATAATCACAGAATAAGGCCACTAGCACCAATGACAGCAAGAAAGCCATAATTCCCCATAATTCTCATGATTCTTTCCTTAGATGAACCAGCCATAAAGCTCCAGCGAAGGTCAACCAAGTAAAAATAGCAGATGCCTATTTTAGAATGCATTACAACCAATTGTCAAAAATAAACCAATTGTCAAAAATAAGCCAACACAAAATGCACTAACAAGTTGGTTATTAGCGAATTAAAAATTGGAATGGATATGGTCGGAATTTTTTGGTACATAATAAAAGAAACAAGTTTGCATAAATACCCTTGGATTTTAACTTTTAAGTTTGGAAGGGGAGTATTTCACAAATGATCATGGATGAGAACTGAAAAAGATTATAAGGATGACAACAGGACTGGACAAGGGCGGGGAATGATTCCTTGTCCCCATCCCCGCCCCTCAAAGGATCCCCATTCTCGTCCTTATTTTTGCTCTAAAAGAGACAGGACCGAGGTTGAGAATTTCTAATTAGAGAGACCTTTTTCATACTCGTCTCATTCTCCATCTAATATAATTATACATTTCAAAAGTATAGCAATTTAAAACAAAATGTACTAAAGTTTAAATCAAAATCAAATTAGGTTCTATAAAACAAACTATATGCAAATCAAACTTAATAATAATGTGAGAAAGACACTAATTTTATTTGAAAATTTAATATCATATATTTATTTATATAATATATATGTATATCGGGGTTGGCGAAGGTGGGTAGAGAGTGCTTCTCCCATTCCCGTCCCCACCACACCATGACTCGGATACAAGATTTTATCTCCATCCTTAATGATTATTCTCCATTCCCGTCCCATTCAGGGCAGATCCCCGTCTCCGTGGGTATTATCTTCATATCTAGTAAAGAAAATGGGTATTTAGACATTTGCTCTCGAACTCGTATTATCTTTGCAACTTGCTCTTGAAAAAAATTTAAAATTTTGACAAATTACTCCCTCAACTTGTGAACTTATTGCAATACGCTCCATTTTAATGATGATTTTGTGAAATTCGTGTTTAAAAAACACATTCGACAAAAATTTCAATTAATGATCAATATATATATTTATATATATATATATTTATATATCTAACGTCGATGATAGTGTTATGAAGTTAATCTACTACATGTGGTATACTCTTAGCCAAGAGGGGGAAGTTCTCATTTTTAGGGCGATTGATGTGTGTGTGGCGATTTAGAAAGTGGCACTTGCATCATGCTATTCAGTACAAATAGTTTATGATGAAGATCCTCTACTAAGTTTAGTGGCTCACAATATTTATAATGATGATAGGTATAGTAACCCACTATGATTAATTGATCAACACAATAAAAAGACTACAATAAGCTCATTTGAATGATTTTTACGAGACGTTTTTAAAGCGTGCATAGACATGTCATATCATTATATTAAGTTATTGTTATATGCATGAGATTTCTTTACCGGATGCTAGCTCATTATTTAATTTTTTATCTTTTCAGATTAACAAACTAGGAGAGTCACAAGCGACTGGTTTTTAGTGCAATATTATTTTCGTGGCAACCTATTTTCTCATGATATTCAATAAGACAGATATTCTAAATGAATGTTTTTGGATTATTATTTTTCAGATCATTAATGATGTTTGGTGGTTAAACCTTTTATACTTTTGTCAACTTTATGAGGTTACATGGATCGAGAATTTATCATTTTATAATTCGTATGAAGAACCTTTTTTATATTTTTATAAATTGTCTTCCCACATTTACTTCTGCACTTAATGCTTTTTAATGTTATTAAAGTTAATACCTCTTACTTTAGGATTTTTTTTTTAAAATATTACATTAGGATTTTTAGATTTTGGGTGTTACAGTTGTTTTTTTATGTGTATATGTTTAAAATGCATATAATTTTTTTTTTATCCTTTCATCACTTAATAGAATAGTGGTCAACCGTCCAAGAGACGCAACTATTGGAATTTACTTTCTAAAAATGCAAGTATCGACAGTCTTTTGAGGGTTATAATATAATTAAAATTACACACGTTTATGCGGACAATATTAGAAAGAATCTAGGCATATAAATCTCTATTATATAGAGCATTATTCCATGATTTTTTTAATAAAGAAGCCATATTTCTTTTGCATCTTCCACACAATATTTCAAGATTTCTCAAATGACAAGTAAAACTAATTATTATTTGCGAAGGGTTTTCTAGCTACTCTAAGTAGACGTTTAGTTCATAGATTCAGAACTATGATTCAGAACTATTCTTGTTTTACGTGTGTTTTTTGTGAGAGAAAAATACTGTAGAGAACCATGAATCATAATTCAAAATCATGGACGAATATAGAAAACAAACGTGAGATAAGTCTCTAACCATTTAAGTGAGAATTTTTAAAATTCAGCAATAGTATTTGTAGTTTATACTCTTCACAGGAACAAAACGCACACAACTAACTAGCTTCTCTAATAACATGTCAATAACGTGCAAGCAACTTCAAAACAATCCATAATCTTTAATAATTCAGCTAAATAATTTATCAATAAGGTGAGTATTTTATTCAACACGAGAAGAAAGTATGGCTTAAACCACATTCTTATTAAATCGCTATACCGAATTCACATGATATTGTACGTCTAAAATTATGTTTAAAACTTAACTAGTCAGAACTTGGCACTTCAATACCATATAGATTTCTCATATTCAACCATAACTTTACTACTATATTCTACATTATTATTCAGAAAGTATAGGTCGCATGCTACTATCACAAAGTCTATTTATTTATCTTTTTTCATTTGAAGTGACCAACTTTGTTTATTAAATTAAGAGAGAAAGAAAAGTTCTAGGGAAAGCTATACGCCACTTGATAGAACGCCTACCAGATAACAAAATAAAACTGACATGTAATTATCAAATCAAATTCTTTAAAATAAAATAAATAAATAAAAATTTGCTTAAGAGTTAAAAATGGAAGTTGAGAGGTGAAGAGCACCTTGCTTTTATTGAGATTAATTATGTTGAAGATTGGCCGAATAGGATCCAATCCTCAACTTTCTCTTTTTCACTTTTTTGTGCTAAAGGAATCTTTGTTTATTAATATTAATGGATCCATTATGATTCAATTATGTTAGTGCTACTCATTCTTATATCCTAATATTTCGGGTTTGGGGTGCTTGTATTCAAGTCTTTCACTTACTCTATAGTGATCGAGTTAGAAAATGAGCAAGAAAAACATCATTATCACTAGGGGTGGTACTTTGTATTAGTGGATTGTGTTGGTATCAATCAATTTATTAATCGTGTTAGAAAACATCAACATAAATAAGATCTGTTTATTAAACGTGTCAAAAATGTCAATCAAACACGACCTATTTAGTAATCGTGTCAACCCGTTTAAATTAATATATTGAATAAATAACTAATATAATAATAACCTATTTAACACGATCATGACATGTTTAACATATTTATTTGTCAATTTATCTTTTTCTTTAAAAAATAAATGAATTTTACCTACAAATATTAAAATTCATATTATTTGTATTTAATATGTTATATAAACGTTCATGTTATATCACATATCATTATATTGCAGATGACACATATAGTTAATCATCACTTCAAGTTAGAAGGTCAACCCTAACACAACCCGTTTATTAATCATGTCAACTCGATTATGACCGAAACTCATTTATAATAAATTCAAACCCACTAATTTCGTGCGGGTTTCAAATCGTATTTCGTATCATGACCTAAATTGTCACCCCTAATTATCACTGTTACAAAAGCCATACAATAGCTGCTAGAAAGCCAAATATTAGTGGTGATATGACACTAAGACAATGGATTCTCTCATTTATAATGTTTAACATGAAACTATTTTATTCATAACCACTTTATCTACTTTTATACCATCAAGGTTCTTACGTTTACTTATTTTCTGATGAAGGTAAACAATTGTTATAGTTAGAAGTTGGTAATGTTTCAACATGAAACTATTTTATTCATTCATGACCACTTTATCTACTTTGAGAAATCAAGGTTCTTACGTTTACTTATTTTGTGATGGAGATAAACAATTGTTATAGTTAGAAGTTGGTAATGTTTCAACATGAAACTATTTTATTCATGACCACTGTATCTACCTATATACCATCAAGGTTCTTACGTTTACTTATTTTGTGATGGAGATAAACAATTATTAGTTAGACGTTGGAATATTAGAATTATGTTGAGAATTTAACCGCTATTGTTACCAAAATCATAGAAATTGCAATATGGCCGGATTCAAATTTGATTTGGTGTGTAATACGTTAATAAATATGAAATGACCAAGTATTTCTTTTCTTCTTTTTTTTTTTTTTTTTGAGAAAATCAAGTATTTAAAGTTTCTAATAAAATCTGACTCAAAAAACTTGATTACCAAAATACCTTATATTATGAGAAAAAGGAGACGAGTACCTCCTTTACTCTCGATTAATATTTTTTTTAGTTAAATAACTATATTAATTAAAAAAATATTAATAAAAAATAAATTATAAAAATTTAAAACCATGTACGAACAAGTAGTTGAATGAATTTAGAGGAAGCTCCGAGAACTCAACATTCGTAAGTTTTATGCATGTGGGGCTCATAGAATTTGATTCCCATTGAGAAAATAAACACCCGGATTTAAAGGAATTAGATTCATTTCCTGCCTAAGTAAACAAATGCACGTGAGCTGATAAAAAGTGGGTATTGGAAACATTAAAGAAGATAACAGCAAAAGCATTAAAATTATTAAAGAACGCAGCAAAATATACACATGATTTATCGGGGAACAAAACACAACTTAGAAAGAGAAACGTCATTTATTAACTTCCTTGACTCTGTAAAAAAATAAAATAAAAAATATTTAAAAAAAACATATTTGTAGAAATGACCAATTTTAGGACATGAAATAGCATACTGTTTGGTAGAAACCCTGAATAGTAAATTGATCACTGATCAGTTCATCATTAGCAACATAGTTTATGTATTGATGTGGACATGTAACGCAACGTTTGTGGATTTTAATTGGGTTAGTGGTCGCATTCACTTGAGAAAGTGACTGAATTAAGAAGCAATGGATAAGTTGTGTCATAGTTACATATTTGGTTATAGGGTGAGACCTTTTCAATGCTTAAATTTTTTTTCAAAAAAAAAAAAAAAAAAAAAAAAAAAAAAAAAAAAAGAGGGTGGGACCTCTCCAATTTTCTATATCCAAATGATAGAGGAATGTAGACCCCCATGACCTATAAATGAAAGGGACATTAGGTGAAATATTTGAAGAGCCAATGGCAAGATATGCGTGCCACAAGATTGTAGTAAGTGACTAGTGAATATGTTATATATATATATATATATATATATATATATATATTATAGTATTATTTCTTTTTTGGTGGTAAATTAGATGGTATGCTCTTTGAATGACAATACAAGTAATTCCTGAGTATGAGAAACGTGGGTGTAGGATTAATAGAACTTGTTAGTCAACTTGCACTTAATCTCTCAAGGTATCAAAACCATTCTCACTGAATTTCGTTATATCAATTGTTAAAGTTGTGCAGGAATTTTAAAGAAGAAATCAATACAAAAACAAACACTTTTGACTTTGTGAAAATGAAAGAATACCCTCTGAAGTATTCTGGCAAAGAGAGTACATTGGCCTAGCAGTGTACTTCTTTCATGGTGAGAAATTCTCTCAACCCCGGAAAAAAGAAAAAGGAAAAAACACCGGTCCGTTCATTTCGCTGATTTGAGTTTAAAATGTGAATTTTTTTACAGTAAAAAGCTCTCACAAACAATCACATCTAACTTTTTTGCTACAGTAAAAAGCTCTCACATAAAGTCACATCTCAACTCGAATCAGCGAAATGAACGGAGCCTAATAAGAACTTTCTTATGATCCCGATTTCAACCTCGGTCGGTCGGCATTTGCATGATCCAAATAAATACACTATTTATGCAGGATTTAAAGAATTTCTTAAAAGTCGATAACTGGAAATGCACAAAATATAATGACCAATAGTAATCCCATTTTGGCTTTCAGCACTTATCTCAAAAGCATTTACACACTATTTTTCCCTCCAGAAAAATAAGTATTTATTAACAAGCAGAAGTTGAACACCAGAAGCTGGATCTGGTTTTCTTATGGTGTGTTTCCAGCTTATGCTCGGAACGAAGAAGCGCGGCAGGAGATCAACCACAAGAAGCTCTGATTTTATTACACCATATTTCCAGTTTATGTCGTGAATCAAGTTGCTAAGGAAGAAAAAGCATTCCCTAAACAAACACGAACGACAAGAAAGAAAGAAAGAAAGCCGAAAAGAAATACCTGAATATTTGATTTTGTTGCACAAGATATGCAGCTTAAATCTTAAATTAATGTGTTAATGTAGAATGCAGGCCAAAATTCTTGCCATGTGATAATTGCATTATACCATATTCAAGTATATGCTTTCTTGTTCTACCTCCTCAAGCCGGCAAAGGCAACCATTTAAAATTTGTAGCTGAGAAAAAAAAATCACATTGTACTCAATATCACTATCAGTAAACTCTAGAGTGGCATAATACTTTCTTGTTAACATTGTAAGTAACCCTTGTACTACTAAGTTATGGCCAGTATAGTAAAAGTGTTTTAAAGCTCTATAAATAGCAGTTATCTCCATAAGAAGATCAGTACAAAAAACAAATACTACACTCCTCAAAAGCATAATTCCCTACAACAAGCTCTTTGTTACATTTTCTATATTTTGTTTCTAAACTTCAGGAAAACCATGGCAATGCCGCAACTTCGACACTCTATTTTTGTAGCCATTGCTACACTATGTTTCTATTTGAGCTTCACTTCATTGGCTTATGCCCAAGAGTCCGGCACTGCCACTTATAACACTCCTCCTTATCTGCGTAAACATCTTAAGAATAAATTTCTACACGTTTTCATCAGAAACAACATTATACGATATTGAAAATTAACAAGTTATTTTCCTTTATTTTGCAGCTTCAAGTTGCTATGGTTTTGAGGACCAAGGAGTGATGATAGCAGCAGCGAGCGATGCGATTTATAACGATGGAGAAGCATGCGGCCAAATGTACGAAGTCACGTGTCTCAGCGGCACAAACTTGGGCACCCCAATGCCTTGCTTGGAAGGCTCTGTTGTGGTAAAGATAACAGACTACTGTAAACCCGAGTCATGCAGGGGTACTATCGACTTATCAATAGAAGCTTTTGCTTCCATTGCAGATCCAGCTTCTGGAGTTATCAACGTCTCTTACCAAAAGTATGTACTTCATCACCCTCCTATAAGCTCCAACAATAATTTCTAACGTTGTTTATCTTTGCCCGTTCTTAAATGTGCTTTTTTAATGACTTTGCAGGCTTTGAAGGAGACAGACAGAAAATACATTTTCTTCATAGATACAATATAGCAGTTTCTGTTACTCTTATTTTTTATCTCTTTTTTTTTTTTTTTCAATAATCATATAAATTTCTTAATGCAAAAAGAACCATCATATGGATGAGTTCAATTATTGCACTGAAATTTACATGAGAATGAGTATTCTATTGCCCTTTGAGGACTGATTGTTCCGATACGCAGCTGCTTCGAACTCTATAAAACTCGCAATAACATAACTAGTTAACCATTCCTAGAATTTCTAAGGACTAGCACATGCGAGTATCTTGAACAGAAACTAACAGCTAATGCAAACTGCACTTCAGCAGGCAAAAGGAATAAATTGCAGGAATAATTTCATTAAAGCTAACTAATAATCTAATTTAAGACAGGCCTACGATGTTACAACTTGTAAACTTGTTTCATCCAAAAAACCAAAAAGCTATACTGCACCTCGCGATCCAATTCCAACAGACAAAAAGATGAAAACGGCATCTGCCTTATAAGTTATATCTAGATATTGTTGGCATGAAGTTAAAACACATAAATTGCTTCTGATGGCAGCAAACAGAGAATTTTTGGCATGTTTTAAAACTCGATTATAATCTGGATATAGAATTCGAATATATGATCTTATACTAGGTAAGATTCCAGTCCGGTAGTAGCTTCTAAAATAATGGCTTTCTTTGTGAAGCAGGAACTGGCTGTCTATAAAAGTTCAATCACAATTATCTCACCCTACAAAGTTAGAAACCACTGGCTGAGCAGTACAATAAACCTAAATGGTTTCTTATTTGTATTTTATTAACACCGCGACGCAGACAGAAAATGGCCCTCATTGATTCCTAGAGACTTGAGAGAGTTTATCTTGTTGCAGAAAATCTGATCATAACAAGACCTATAGTGTGCCAACAAAAGTCTTGGTATGAAAAGAGAATGAAATTCACTCAACATAAATCTTAAGATATCACTTACAAGAGATGGTTCAGCACAAAAGACAGACACGTGAGATGGAAAAACTGGATCGAGTACATAAAGAATAATGGTCTAAGGCATCACAAATCTCCTATAGAGACAAGCATCTGACATCTTCATCTAAGGATCTGTTAGGATCTGGTAATCTTATACAAAATCAAGAAATGCAAAGAAGAAATGGTTGATCAATTTTATATGAAATTCTATTGAAGAAATAAAATGAAGTAAGATAGGCGGGTTTTCAAGAGACCCACAGCACTCCCCTAACCCCTTGAGCAAAAGCTCGACTAGATACACAAACAGAGAAAACAGATTGATGCATCACGATGGCCCCTCCCTTGACGTTTTACTCCTACTACTAACTAACGACACAACCAACCAACCAACCAATTTCCCTCCTCACTAACCACCCTCAACTTCTAGATTATGCTGTCCCTGCTAACCACTAGGAGTTGCCAACACATCGTCTAAGGCCGGCAATATAGGTCACGACACAACAACACGACTCGAAAACGACACGAATTTCGCGGGTTAGGGTTGAGAAAAAAGAGAATCGGGTTAGAATTGAGTCGACCTAAAATTGACACGAAAAACACTGGTCAATTTCGGGTTGGACTCGCCTAACCCGAACACGACACGAAGCTCGTAAAAAACTAAAAAATACATATATTTTTCATTACATATTTTTTATTTTATTATGAACTTGTGATATCATGATAGTTATATTCAAAATCTTATACTATTATTTGCTTAATTTCAGTGGATGTTATTGTATTTTAGTGTGTTATGAATTTTAAGTTATTTCTAATATGTAAAAAACTAAATAAAAGTATACAATTTTCGTGTCAATTTCGGATTCACGAGTCAATTTCGTGTCACGGGTTATTTTCGTGTCGTGTCGTGTCAAACCGTAAAGTGGTCGTGTCGTGTTCGTGTTACGGTTTTTAAAAAATTTTGTGTCACGGGTCGTGTTTGGGTTGACTGTAAATTTAAAAAGAAACGATTAAAACATGACACGTGACACAAATTGCCACTCCTAACATCGACCATCCCATTAGCAAGCGAAACTGGACCCTGCACCAGATCTTCTCCTGACTCAACATGCTTCTTTCTGCTATTCTTACGCCTCATATATGTGAAACGTAGAAGAGGCTTATCAGGATCCCAAGGCCTATTAACAAGGGCTATTTGGCATCTCATCATCACAAGAAATAATTGATTTTTCCACCTCATATGATCACCACCAAAGACTAACATTCTTTAAAATCTTATTTCTACAATTAGAAACTACTAGCTGGAAGCTCCTTCACTGTATGAGCCTTGCTTAAAGTGTTTTGTGAATACTTAATGGTCAAATAGCAAGCAAGCTGCCAAAAAATCAACAAGCAGATTTGTTTCGAATGAAAGACTTCAAATGGAGATCACCTCGCCTATCTACTCACTAAAAGAAACCTGAGTATGCACCTAGTGGTTGATCAAAACTAAAAACTATAGCTTACAATAAGTATGCCTGCATCAGGATACAAAATGATCACCCGAGCAGCTCAAACTGCAAACTAGAGCTGGCCCTTTTACAATATAAAAGCCATTATCAAATAACCTGAGGGGGTAAAAGCCTCCTTGTCAAACTACAAACTGTTCAGATGTTTTTTTCCCCCTTTAAGTTTGCTAAGATCTAATGCATATTGTATAGCTACTACTGCAAAGATCAACCATAAACCTACTTATTGTAAATTGTTAATTTTTTTTTTTTAAAAAGGCAATAATGATAAATTCAAAATCTATGAAACAAAATCAATAACCCGGACTATGGAGATGATGCATAAAAAGTGATAAAATTGGCGTAATAAAAGGACCATAAAACTTGATGTAATTATGATCATAAGTTATCTTGCCCCTTAAAAGCAAGCTACAGTTCGCCAGCTTAAACAAGAAATAAGCAAAACAACAAGAACTGATCAAATAACTTTCTTTCTTCGTTTAAGAAATCCAAACAAAGTAAAACACGTAATAATCTGTCGCCAAGAAATTCGGATTACGAAGCTCTTGTGGTTCTCATAGACACTCACAATTAACAAACAACAATTTTCGCCGTTGCTAAATATAAATCAACTTGAAATTCACAATAATTTGCTTTCTTTCATTCTTTTCTGAATTGTAAACAAAGTACAATTTTCCGTTCTCATCATCAACAATAGACAAATTTAACAACAATTTCAATTGCAAGTTCGAATTCTAAATACACCAACATTAACCAACCTCTGTTTGTCACAATGGCGTGAGCCTCGCCTCGAAAACAAACCCGCGGCAGAGCCCGTCGCTGCTCCCCGGCACGCCGTCGATCCACCGCCACTCTGCCTTCCCCGAGCACCGGTCCCACAGCGCCAGCCTCCCGACTCGCTTGGCCGAGAAGCAAACTCTATCCCCGCCACCAAACACCTTGAACTTGCTCGACTCCTGAAAGCACCGGAACATCTCAATCGGCATCCGACCGGCCTCGTCCCACTCCAGCGTCTCCAAATCAAGCCTTAGGATCAGGATCGTCGAGCAGGAGGAGTTGAGTGAGAAGGAAGACTTCAATCCTCCGACCATCAGGATCCGATTCCCCGATCCGCGGACCAATCGCGGCCGTTTGAGGATGTCGAAGACGTCCCCCCACTCGTGGCGCTCGAGGCGGCTCCAGTTCTGCGAGGAGGAGCTGCTCTTCATTCTCGCAATCGCGCAGGAGAATAGCTTCCACTGGCTCCGCCATGGCGATCCGACGTCGCAGAGGGCGTAGACCGAGTCGGAGACAAGGATCGGGCTTCGAGGCTTGGAAGGGAGATTGGAGGAGAAGTTGAGCCACTGGTGGGACCCGCCGGTGGAGAAGTAGAGCGCGGCGAGTTCGGTGAGAACCATGACTCGGCTCGCCGCCGAGTCGACAAGGACCGAGCCGTGGCGCGACCAGGCCGAGCCGAGCTGAGGCAGAACCCGGAATTGCCGAGTCAAGGGATTGCAAACGACAAGAGACTTGTTGCTGTTGATGTTGCAGGTGGTGGTGGTGGTGGGAGGTCCAAACGACATGTCGTTTGAGGAGTCACCCCACAGGTAGACGAGGCCGAGAGAGGAGGCGACGGGGTGAAGAGACCGGAAGGGGAGGAAATCGAGGCTGAATCTGAGCCATTGATTCTGATCGGGGTCGAACACGTGGAGGCAGGGAGGGGAGGCCACGTGGCGGTGATTGTGGTGGTGGTGAGGCGGTCGGAGGGCGAGGAGGCGGAGGGAGGATCGGTTGGAGATGAGGTGCAGGAAGCAGGGTGAGGTGAGGAGCTGATTGAAGAGCTTTGAAACGGAGCGGCAGATCATGATCTGACGGAGTGGGAGGGCGGAGAATATCTGGTGGAGGGTGTCTTGTGGAAGACGGTAAATCGGCGGCGACTCCATTTTTAATTCGGCGGGCCGCGAAGTATTCGATCGGAGACGGAGAGAGGGCGTTGAAATGCTCCGAGAGAGAGAGATTCAATCCAAGTGGTGGTGGTGGTGGTGGTGGTGGAGCCTGGAGAGAAGACAGTCTGTCTCTGTCTCTCTCTCTCTCTCCAGTGGTTGGTTCTGCCAAGGGTGGTTTCGTAAATTTAGAATGTAAGTTGGGCTTGGACTGGAGGACTAGGCGCAACTCCATGGCTTGGCCCATGAAACAGAAATTGCATGAAATGGAATGTTCTCTATGCATCTGTTTCTAACGGTCCTTAGGACTGTAAGTTTATACCGAGCTAAATAGGTTGACTCGAGATCCGTTATTATTAGCCCGATCTTAACTCCTCCTAATTCAGAGATGGTTTTGAATGTAAAAGTTTATTCGGGAAACACCCTCTTTTTAAAGATTTTATTGAAAAATCTTTCATAAAATTCTGAGCTGATTCAAAACCTTTCGGATTTTAAGACTAGATTGAGCGGTCCCTCTAGAAACTTTAAGGATATGTTTGGTTAGAGAATTCATACTATGATTTTAATCATGGTTCATAGTTTGCTACAGTGTTTTCTCTCACAAAAAATGTACGTAAATCGAAAATAATTCTAATCTCATGATTCTAATCCATGAACTAAACGTCTCCTAAAATTATTATTACCATGTAATAATTGCTAAATAGTTATTTTTTTCAACTAAATTAGTTAAATACCTGACTGTTAGTTACACGATAATTAATATTTTGCAATGAGTACAATCAAATCTGTCATCTTGATCAGCTTTAAGGTTGTTAAGATATACCTATCAAAAAAGAAAATTTTTTAACACATTTTAATTAGACAAGACTAAGGAGAACTTTGTGCCACGATTGAGGGACAAAAAATAAAAAATGAAAAAGCCCTATCAGTAAAATATACTTTGAATTTGTCATGTCACGTTTAAGATCATATTAAACTAAAAAAAAAAAATGCATCAATTTAATTAATGGAAAATTGATAATTTAAAAGTATAAATAAGTTGAATGGAAATTTCTACAGTCGGACGCATTGTTTTGCAATACAGGTGGACCAAGTTTCGTTAGTCATTCGACTGATTTTTAAGGGAATGATTAATGAGTGCGTTACTTTTACAATTTGAAATGAAAAGTTTGAAACATGATGTTTGAAATTGTGATTGAAAACAAATTGAAAAGAAGGGAGGGTAAGCTTAAAATTCTTAAGGATTTTTAATTCACAACATCAAATTATCGGTTTAAACTAAGCCACAAAAATTTTTGCCGGTTCAAAATGCTTAAGAGCCCGTTTACTTCGCTGATTCGAGTTTATAATTCGAGTTGAGATGTAATTTTGTGTGAGAACTTTTGACTGTAGCAAAAAAGTTATATGTGACTGTTTCTGAAAGCTTTTTACTGTAGCAAAACTCGAATCGGCGAAATGAACGAAGCCTAAACCTATTTACCATACACTCTAAAAGTGCTCCACGCCTTCCACTCATACACATCACACCGTTAAAGTTTAATCAAATTAAAAAAAATTATATTTACTCAATGGAAATTTAACAATTTACATTGTTACTGTAAATTTTTCCACTCTAACTTTTTGTTCATTTATTAATTTTAATAATTCAAGAATCCTTATTATCAAATCCACGACCTCCTACTAATGCATTGAAATAATTACGTTGTCCCTCCTAAAGTATACGAGTCTCAATTTTTACGTCTTACTCTTAATTAAAATTCTTTTTAGGTAAATAATTGTATTAGTCAATGGTATATTAATCAAGAATAAAAGATAAAAATTCAAACTCATAAACTTTAAAGATAAGTTCAACAATTTTCTTACTTTTAAATAGAGAGTGGTTAAGTAGGTTTTCTAGTAAAGAAGATTAGTGAATATAATGGGTCTCACATCTTATCATAAAGTTCAATCTCTTTGTACTATCAACATAAAATAAGAGACATTTTTTTCTTTCCATATAATTCTTCTCCAGCATTTTTTTTCATCCATTGATTCTTCTTTCAATAATATAAGATAAAGAATAAGTAAAATCATGGCCAATGTGCTTTCTTTTAGTGTTCCTTAAGTTATAATAATGATAATCGTGATTCACATTCTTAATAATTTCCTTGATATCATTTGGGCTCCCACACTCAACGCTTTTCTTGTCACTAATAATTAGAGGCATGTGTTTTATTACGTGCATATTTAACTTTGATAATGGTTAATTTTAGGGTTTCATGCATGATGGTTCAATGCACTTTTCATGTAATTTTTAATTGAATTATGTTAGGGATGAGTATGATATATTTATGTTTTGAGTATGAGATTTAAGAATTTTGTATACTTTTTTTTTATGAATTTAAGTTGAAAATTAGGAATATGCAGATGCTAGAATTTTCTAAATTTGTATTGTTCGAAGGTTTTAACAAAATCATAATTAGGATTATAATATTTCGCCATGAATACCAACGAGTCTAGTTGAATTTGTTGCTGGACTCAGCTTAATTTATATGTCTGTGCAATTTATTATGATTTTTGAAAGGAACTGAGGCCGCGTTGTCAATAATTTATGTTTAATTTTTGAGTTGGAACTGGATGGTTCTGATGATAAAAGCTATTTTATTGGTGTTATCGTACGATGTGAAAGTTTTGGATCATATGTATTGATGTTAATTAATTCTATTAATTTATGATGATATGACTTGAATCTTTATAAGGAGGAGCACACCAAGGACGTCGTGTCACCAATTAACAAGTTAAGTAAAAAAAAAAAAAAAAATGTATAAAAAAATTATTTTAAAAAAATAGTTTTTCATGAAAAAAAAAAAACCATGTAAGTGCATATATTTATAAGGACGTTTGGTTGATGGATTCAGAACCATAATTCAGAATCATTCTTAATTTATGTATTTTTTTATGAGAGAAAATATTATAACGAGTCACAAATCATGATTCGAACCATGACACGAATCCTTGAACCAAACGCTCTCATTTTTTTTGTTACAGTTAAAAATTTTCAATTCGAATCAACGAACTAAACAAATCATTTATTTTTGTCCATCTTGGAGACCACTTTCCATGGTGTGGATACTCGCCATTTGACATATTATCCTCACTGACAAAATTTTAAATGAAGATAATCATATGTCAATGCTTCTTAAGATCGAAACCCACCATGCCAGCAAAAATCGCATGATTTAAAATTTAAAAACAATTAATAGAAAAACGATGGTTAAAATTACTGCTACCCTGTAATAGTTGCTTAATAGTAACTTTAATTGGTTAAAGTACATGATTGTTAGTTACACAATGATTAATACTTTCCGATGAGTACAATTAAATCTATCATCTTGATTAGCTTTAAGGTTGTAAAAAACCCATAAAAAAAAAATATCAAAGTTTTTATAACACCTACTAGACAAGACTAAGGAGAACTTTGTCCTAGAAATGAGGGACAAAATAAAAATAAAAAAGCTTAGGTTTTTTTTTTTAATAATGCTCACTAAAATAAATGAAAAAGTCTACATTCGGACACATTGTTTTGTGACACTGGTGAGAACAAGTTTTATTAGCCATTCAACTGATTTTTAATGGAAGTTTAAACTTTTGTGATTTGAAACGTGTGGCGAAATTTTTATTGAAAACATATGAAAAAGAAAAGGGATAAACTCTAAATTCTTAAAGTTTTTTTTTTTTCTTTGGTTCAAAACATAAATAATTAGTTTGAACTAAGCCTCAAAATGTTTTGCCAGACGCTGGTTCAAAATAACTTTTTAGTTCAAAACACTTGAATCTGTTCGCCAAATGGTCTAAAAGTGCTCTAAATCTTCTACTCGGATATATCACACTAAAAATTTAATCAAATTACAGAAAAAAAAAAAAAAAAAAAAACACACACACACACACTTGCTCTATTGATAAGGACAAATACATTGTTAACTTAAATTTTTCCACTCCGACTTTTTGTGCATTTTTTTGAAAGGTAATGTAATTTGTATTCCAAATCAAGAAAATACACACTAATATCAACGCGAATGACCTTAAAAAATAAGAAGACTTAACCCCGATAATAAATAGATTCTAATAGTATGTTCGAATGAAACATACAAGGGGATAAAACGTGTACCAAATTCTAATAACAGAAAACTGGAAAGGCACAACAACTATCGAGCACACAAATGACTCTTTTGACAATACCTCTATAATCGATGGAAAATTCCGATCGATTGAGATTAAAGGACTTATAAACTAAAAGTCACACACAACACCGTAAAGAAATAACTCTAACGGATTGGACACATACACAGAATCAAAAAGTGGGAAAACTACCTCCATTATTACACAATAAAAACTAAAATTAGAACACAACAGTGATGGACCGTCTTTTATTGAACACAAACAATTAATGAAAAACTCCCCCTATGTAGAAAAAGCCACTTACCACAAACCCATCAACGCAATCGAAACGACCACGAGAAAGAGCGTTACAAGGAGCCAAAAACACCGTAGAAAGAACACGACCACCACGCCGGAAAAAGAGACCCACGCATTGCCGCCGACAACCACCAAACTAAGCAAGTGCTTTGCCAAACCTATCGCACACCCCGGGGACCACAACCCAAAAAGCACAGACCAACTGAAGTATCCAGAAGCTTTGTACTGGTGAGTGCCACCGTGACAATGTAACTGGCACCCCACATCTTTCCACGCATGTCCACCAACTCCATCATTGTCGTGACAAGAGGGTCGAAACCCATGAGTGCGTTTGGAACTCGTTATAAAATAATTTTATTTTTTGTATGAAAATGAAAATATTTTCAATCTCAGACATAAATCATTTTTGAGAATGTGTTTAGTAGTTTTATCAAGAGATTGTTTTCAATATAAAAAAAAATTCATTAATATATCTCTCTCTTTCTCTCTGCTCGAGAGATGAGCAAATGAAAACAAAAAATGAAAAACGACTAAAAGTCGTTTTTTATTTCTCTTTCATTTTACACTAAATTAAAAAATCGTTTTCATTTTCCTTTTTTGTCTTTATTGCGCTAAACGCCGTTTTAGAAATATTTTTATTTTTTCTTTTTCAAAAAATATGAAAAATAAAAACATAATGAATTA